TTTTCATCACATCATTAACCCTGGGATCTGCACCCCACAGAAGGGTGGGGTCCGGAGAAGAAAAAAAGAAAGTGTGTCCCCAGAAATATGTGTTGTAGACCCGAGACAGAATTCCTCACACCTCCCCTCATAATACTAGTGCCTAAAATGTCCCGCCAGCCAATAGGTCAGTCTAACCTAGACGGACCATTTCTCCATCGCTGAGCTATCTGTTGGGGTCCCGGAAAAACAGCACGATTTGATACTGGGGTTCACTCGGCTGTAACGGTCTGACTGCTGGGATCCTTGGGGAATCTCGCTCCCAAGAAACTCCAGACTGGGCAGGGCTGGGGAGAAGAGCCTGGGATTTGTGCGGGGTCGGGGGGGGGGGCGCGGAATGAGCAGCCTGCACACCTGCGCTTAGCATCTTCATTGCTTTGTGATGGAGCCAGCAGCCACACAGTGTGATCCAGAGACGCCTGGTGGAGGGGACCCAGAGTCGTGCTCAGGGGGAGTCTCCCCTGGTGCAGGCGCTGATTCACGGCCAGGAGGGCAGGAGGAGGACCAGCAAGACAGAGAGGCCAGCTCTTCTGGTCAACTGCAAGGTGAGATAGCCTCCTGGGACCGGCTCCCCTCACCCACTCTCCTTCCCGCCTGGTGGTGGGGGAGGAGCGGGGAGCTAAGGCACCACCCCCCACAGCCTGGGTCTAGAACTTCACTCCTTACCTCACGGGCCTTCCCTTTGCACGACTCCCTTTCCTTGATCCAACTAGAATCTTTAAAGGTTGAGTGTGTGCCACACACAAGGGCATGCACAGGTGGGTAAGGCAGCCCCTCCCAGGAAAGTACACGTGCTCTCTGGAGCTGTCCAACCCCCCAGGCAACACGGAGCCCCTCCTGACACAAGCCAGCTCCCACTGCCCGTCTTTGCTCAGCGCCCCCTCCACCTGCTGACCTTCATCCTGTGTCCACGTTCCGTGATCCTTCAAGCCTCAGATGTCCCCTCCTCCTTGAAAGCTCTCCTGACTTCCCCAGCGGAAGAGCCTTTCCTCCCTCTCAACATCTCAGGCTCTTTACTCACAACCCACAGACCTTACAACTCCCTCCCGTGCACCGGTGACCACGCCCCCTCCCTCCTAGAGAGCAGCCTTCCACAACAGGTCCCCGCACAGCGGGCGCTCAGCGAACAAGTGCAATGAGAGAATGACATGGTTTGTGGTACCCAAGTGCAAACTAAAACGTCTCTGTTTATCTAAAAGGAAGCAACTTGCCTTCCTTTGCCTGCAGGGGTGAGCCTCTGTTACCAGCATCTAACGTTCTAGTGGGCCTTCCCATCCTCCTTCATTCCTAATCCGGTTCCCTTTAACTGGAGGCCCTGGGCCTCCCAAGCACCCCTCCACTTCCAGTCGAATCCTTCCCAGACGCAGGCACTCACCGCGTGTGGCTCCACTTCCTTTCCTGATTCGGTATCTGACGGAGCTCTGCCTCAACTGTGAGTCTCGTAAACGTCACTTTTAAAGAGTCAGTTGGTTCTCTTCACTCACTTCTGAAAGGGACTCATCAGGGGCTGGGAAAGGTGACAGAGCCAGCCCCCAGCCCATTCTCCCGGGGACTCACCGAGTGCCCCCTCCCCTCTTTCTCAGTGCCAGGACCAGGTGCTTAGGGTGGCCGTGGACACTGGCACCGACTACAATCAGATCTCCGCGGGATGCCTCAGCCGCCTGGGGTGAGTGAGGCCCAAAAGCATGGACGCAGGGCTTCTTTTTGGGGTGAAAATATTCTGAAATTAGAGTGATGGTTCCTAACTCTGTTTTATACTTTAAAAGGGTGACTTTCATGGTATATGAACTGTATCTCAATAAAGCTGTTATTTAAAAAAAAAAGAATTGATGGGGCTCTGGCAGAGAAGACAGGATTTAGACCCCATGTGGGACCAGCAGTTGGTTGAGAACCCAAGTGTGGTGGGGAGGGACGTTAGCTGGAGGGGTGGGGGTGGGGGGTGGGGGCTGTGGTGGCCACAAGCCTTGCTTCCTGACCACAGGTTAGGGAAGAGGGCCCTAAAAGCCCCAGGTGGGGACCTGGCCCCTGGGCCCCCAGCCCAGGTGGAGCAGCTGGAGCTACAGCTAGGCCAGGAGACTGTGGCATGCTCCGCTCGGGTGGTGGGTAAGTCCTCTCCCCGTCGGCAGCCCAGCGTCCCACCTCTCCTACTTTCCTCTCCCGGGGGGACAAAGGCAGAGCCTCTCACCCCTGCCAGCACCAGACAAAGTGTCCCCAAAGATGTGCTCGTCATCCTCAAGATTCTCAGGCCTGGGAGGGGTGGGCAGAGGGGGCGAGGGCTGACGGGACAGCAGTGACCTGGGGGCACCCTCCAGCTTCTTGTTTTCAAATGGTTCCTGCAGATGTGGAGAGTCCTGAACTCTGTCTTGGGCTGCAGACTCTGCTGGCTCTCAAGGTAAGGAGGATGCTTACACTGGCAGCCACACCGGGGGCCTGACCCAGAGGGCTGGGAAAAAGAGACAGAGGAGACACAGGTGTGGATGCACGAGTTGGCCTCTGATGAGACTTGGAGACGTGGGATTTCACTCTCACTTCCTTGGAGGTTCCTTATTTGCCCACAAGTAACAGATACGGAGAACTGGGTCCTCCCAGACAGACAGCAGTCCAGGTGAAAGGAAACGGGGAGGAGCAGGGAGCAGGGGGTGGGAAGGGGAGGCGGTTAACCGCCAGTAAGCGCACCTCCCCCTGCAGTGCTGCATCGACCTGGAACGCGGCGTGCTGCGGCTGAGAGCCCCCTTCTCTGAGCTGCCTTTCCTGCCTCTGCACCCAGAGCCCGGCCAGTGACCGCTGCCCGGCTGGTCCCCAGGGGGAAGCTGCTTGCCTTAGGGGAAGAGCTGTCGGGGGGATGGGGCATCGCTAGAGCCAGGTAGCTGGGGACTACTGTGTCTGTCCCTTTTGTCACCACCCTGACCCTGCTGTCCCATTGCCCTGCCGGCCACACTCCTGCTTCTCAGCGCCCACCCTACCCCCCAGGGAGGAGTGTCCCTCTTAGAGACAGCCTGTGACCTCAGGGTTCGGGTTTCCGTTCAGCCTCATCCCCTCCCAAGAAGAGCAGAGCCAGAGCTGGTTCCAGGCTGGGCACTGGGCGGGGTAGGAGTGGCCTGAGTCCGCGGCTGCAGCCTGCTGCTGTCCCCTCCTGCCCCGTCCACCCGAACACCCCTGAGGCCTTCACCCCACGTGCTCACGCCACCTTCTGGGGCTGGTCGTCCCCACTGGACGCCCCCCACTGCCCGGGTCCCTGGCCCTGCTGGCCCCCTTTCTGATCTGTGCACGGTGGCGCACAGGCAAGCGGGACAGAAAGGGTCAGCGCACACGGCAGGGAGTCGGTGGAGGACTCAGGCCCAAAGGCTGGGGACTTTCGCCAGCTGCCTTCTCTGTGGCCGCGCACACCTGGAGGTGGTTGTCATTTGATCACCCCGCACAAACCCTGGACGCACCGCTAAGTTACGCCAGATACTCATCCTCCACCTGCTTCCTCAGTCGCTGGGCCCCTGAACTTTGGGGTGCGTGTGGAGAACCGCCCCCCAGGGCTAACAGAATGGTGGGATCGTCAGTACCAAGACCCAACCTGACCCGTATTCCTCTTTATTTCTAGACGTTCCACCTCATTAGACCCACCCCTTCCTTCTCTGTGGGCTCCTGAGCTTGAGCTGGTCTTTTCTGGCATCCGTGGCTTTCTCCCCACCCCTCCACCCCCACCTTGAGCCCAGTAAACACGCAAGGAGGCTCTGTGACCTTTACTGCAGGTGAAGAGAAGAGCCCAGACCTTAAGGGGCCAAGGCCCCGAGCATTTCCGTCTGGCTGGTTCGAATCTCTCTAATCACGGATTAGGGGGAGACAGAGACAGTGGCGGAGCTAACCTGGCTGGGGAACCAGGGCCCTCGGACCTGGAGCAGATCACATCAGAGAAGAGCCAGGGTTGGCCCTGAGACACCGGGCCTTACCTTTCTCAGTGGAGTCCCTGTGCCCACGGGCAGGCGAGGGGCTCACTGGCACAGGGGTGAGAGCGCGTGGCCCCTCCCTGCCGGGCTGTGCCCTCTGCTCTCCTGGGTCTCACCCTGCTCCTCTCCCTTCTGCCTCTCGCCGCTTCTGCAGCTGCAGACCCCAGGCCCAGGGAAGCCTCGGCTCAGCACTTCTCTGCTTCTCTGTTTGAATAAACACCTGTTTCTCTAAGCCCCTGTCCTCTGCTTCTCAGACACTGAACAAGGAGTCCGTCCTGACTCCCTTTCAGGAGGAAGTGTGACCGTGGACCCTCCCCTGGGCTGACCCATCTGGCTCGGGGTCTGTATAATCAAGAGCAATGCCTTCGGACTTCTCTGTATTTATTTTCTGGGGGAGATAACTAGGTTTACTTACTTAATAGAGGTGCTGAGGACTGGACCCAGGACCTCGTGCATGCTAGGCACGTGCTCCGCCGAGTTCTACCCTCTCCTCAAACTCCCCTAAACACAACGCTCAGCAGGAAGCATCTTCTAAGTCACACTCAGTACACGCGCGCACCGACAAGCAGAACGCAACAGTGCTTCCCCATCCTGTGCGCGACATACTGATGTTTTCTGCCTTACTTCAGTCTGCCTCCCTGATCCAAAAAATGCCAGTCACCACCCACCAGAGGATCCCAACCCACAGTCTGAAAACCACTGATTCATAGCACAGGGGTCAAAGCAGAAGGGATATGAATGGCCCGATTCTGACTGTGGCCTGCATTACAAGCCGGCATCAGGCTGTAAACGTCTCCTGTCTTAGAGACAAGGATGAGTTTTGGGGGAAGTGGGAGCAAGGCCTGGGAAGCTACACGGTACTTGAAGAACACAGCAAAACGAGGAAGTGCTGACCTGGCTTCCCAGGTGAAGAGAGGAAGATCATCTCAGGGTTGGTGGGATGTGGTAAGACAACACGGTAAATTGTCCTGAGAGACTCCTCAGAAAGAAAACAAACGCAGACGTTCCTCGACCTACGGTTTTTTTTTTTACTTTATGATGGAACAAAAGCAATACACACAATGCAGTAGAAAGGGCACTCTGGATTTTGATCTTCCCCAGCTAGCAACACAGGGTCCGGTCCCCTCTCGTGATGCTCAGCAGAGCGCACAGCCCCCAGGCAGCCCGACGGTGAGGGTGAACCACCTACACACTCGGAACCATCCTGTACCCAGACAACCCTCTGTTTTCACTGTCAGTACAGTATTCAATAAATTCCGTGAGGTACTCAACTCTTTATTACAAAATAGGCTTTGTGGGAGCTGATTTTGCCTAAGCATAGGCTGATGTATGTGTTCTGAGCACGTTCATGGCAGGCAAGGCTAAGCTGTGACATTCAGTAGAGGAGGTGCGTTAAACGCACTTTTGGTTTATGGTATTTTCAACTCTCGACGGTTTATCAGGACGTAACCCCATAATAAGTGGAACAGAGTGTGTAGCTGCCACTCCCGTGACAACCACTAGTGTCAGTGACTTGGAGTTGTGCCGTGGAGCCAGCACTCGGGATGGGGTGGAGCCCTTACTGCCACGGCTCTGTTGCAGCAAAGTGTGTTACAGCTCACGAACAAGTCTATCTCCCACACAGCAAGAGTGGGGAGCTCTGGAGAGGAGCAGTGCCAGGTAATGTGGAGTGAGGTCGGGGACCCTGCTCTGATGGGCGAGTGCACGAGGAAATGGGCAGAGGGTCACTTTATCTTTTCCCCAGCAGACCACGAGGTCCACAGTTCAGAGTCACCCTGGGGTTGCCGCTGTCCCTCCTGTCACGGACATCCCTGTTGTGCAAACACCACAGATACCTTGTGGGGGTGCGGAAGTTCAGGAGGACCCTGGTTCCGCTAAGAGGGCTGGGCCAGCTAGGTGGGATCCTGGAGGCCTGTGGGAACACACTGCGGTGGCCGGTCCGGGTGGTAGAGGGTTTGGTGCAGTAGAGCACGGGCGGCCAAGAGGTCGTCAGGATCTGAGGGCAAGAAAGGGGCCGGTGGGTCTCCTGGGACCAGGGCCGCTGCAGGCCTGCAGCCGCGGCCTCCAGGCCAGGGACTCACCTATGCCCAGCTCCCGCAGCAGGCTCCGGAAGTCCGGATGGGCCTCCAGCAGCTTCAGCAGGTTGGTGGACTCCATCCGCTCAAGCTGCACCTCCCAGTACACGTAGATCTTCTGGTTGAAGGTGACGTACACCAGGCAGGGGCTGTTGCGGCCCTCCTTGCAGGCGTACAGGCCTGGGGGCGGCGGTGAGACCCAGGTCAGGGCAAACGTTCACATCAGCAGCTCCCACCCGCCCACAGACATCAGGCAGGAGACTACCAGCCCTCCTCCTAGCCCTCCTCTGTGGGGAACTCAGTAAAGCAGGGAAAGCAGTCAAGCATCTGGCCCGCTGCAGATCGGGAAAACCACGGTAGCAAAGCCCGAGAGAAAAACACCCAGGAGGCTGTGTCTGAGGCTCTCCCGCCTCAGCGACGGCCGGGAGATGCGGGCAGCTGCTCGTGGGTCACTGGACTGTGCGCGCCAGCGCGAGGTTCAATTCTGCCACTTCAGTGACCACAAACACCCCCACGTCACCCCCAGGAGTTAGCGCTGCCTCCCAAGGTCCCCCATCTGGAACCAGGAAGACACTCCTCACAGAGTGTTTTCTGACACCCCCACCGCAGCCAATCCTTCAAAATATTCAGAGATGGACAGCCGGCTGTCTTTTATTTCTTCCGACTTAAAGCCGTAAGACGACAATTTGGTACCCGCTCATCACCCTCTAAGGAAAGAGCTAAAGAACTGTGTTTCCGGAGACTTGGTCAGGGGGCACGGTGAGGGGCAGTGAGAGGGGTGGGTGTGGTCGAGGAGGGCGGGACCAGGGCAATGAGAGGGGCGGGTGTGGTGAGGGGGGCGGGGCGGGGCAGTGAGAGGGTGGGTGTGGTCAGGGAGGCAGGGCGGGGCAGTGAGAGGGTGGGTGTGGTCAGGGAGGGCCAGGCTGGGCCACCTGCACAGAAGGCGCGGATGTTCTCATCCACTTGGAAGCGGACGACGGTGCGGTTGTGATCGATGATGTACGTCTGTCCGTCCCAGGCACAGGCAACCACCTCCTCGTGCCCGTTGCCCTGTAAAAGGCCGGACTTGAGGATGTAGGGGCGGCCAGGAGCCGTTTCAGGAAGAGACCTAGTGGCGAGGCTGGATGAAATCACAGGAGCTGTGGACTCCACCCAGCGGGACACATGGGGAAAGCAACCCCCGCGTTTCTCCCCAAGCTTCTCACGGCACCAGGCACAGAGAGGGCTGTCAGATGAGCCCCTGGACATGGTGCTCACGACAACCCTAAGAAGCAGGCAACATGATTCCTACTTCATACTGAGGAAACAGCTCAGAGTCAAATTCACTCTCCCAAGGTCACCCGGCCGGGAGGTGGCAGCCCTGCTCCACCTGACTGCAGAGCCTTCCACCCCTTTCAGTCCATCAGGCAGGTGGACCACAGCATAAAAGCAGCTCCACCTGCCGACTCCGGGGCCAGAGCCCTGGTAAAGACACACTTGAGCACGGAGCACAGGAAGACTGAAAAAATGCATCTGTGGGTGCACTGGTAACTCACTTCTGGACCCTGGTAATAACTTGTTTCTCTGTGGACCATTACTCCTGCTGAGAGGGGCTGAAATGAGGCTCCCTGGCGAAGAGAGGACAGTGCTAATAAGACCCTGGAGTAAGGGGGGATCAGGCCTGTCCAGAGAGACTTGAGATAAAGGCTGGGTTGACTGGGATGTGAGAATGGCCCCGCTGAAGTCTCACGTGAGGGTGGAGGCTGCCACTCCCTGCCAGGCCCTCTGCTCACCGTGACGTCCAGTTTCTCGAGGGCAAAAAGCTGGTGGTCCACCTGCACCGACCACAGCAGTTTGTCCGCTTCCTCCATGAGCTTCAGCGTCCCTATAGGGGAGAGGTGGGCGGGGCTGGGGGTACGAGCCCTGTGCAGACCCCCAGGTACACAACCTCCTCTAACTCCCATGGGCCGGAGGCTGACCCAGGGGACTCACCGTCCAGGGTGCAGAGGGCAAAGAGGCCAGAGGCACCGCTCTCAGGGCTGTGGCCTGTGGGGGAGGTTGGGGCAGGGGTTGGGGTGGGGAGGGGACAGAAGGATCAGAGGAAGGACACGTGAGGGGAAGGCAAGATCAAAGTGTACAGGTGAGGGCAGCCAAGGGCAGGAGGGAGGGACAGGACCACAAACAAGGGAAGACCCTGCACCCCTCTCCCCAGGCACCTCTGCATGCCCCGCCCCCACCCCACCCAACCCCACCTCCGCCTCGCCTGATGTTGCCAATGAGGTGAGTGGAGACATTCTTGTTGTGGGTGCGGCCGGATGTCTGGTGCAGCACCACCTCTCGGGGAGCTGGGGTCTCCCTGTGGGAGGGGGTGGGGGAGACTGAGAGAGCTTGGCCCTCGGGACAGCTGCAGGCCCCATCCCCGCACGAGCTTCCAAGACAGGAATCAGCATGGAGACCTCTGGCTGACCCTGCCTGGCCCACATGGCAAGTAGAAAGAGAGGGACGGAGTGGCCAGACTGGAATATGGGAAACTCTTCCAGGTGCTACAACGTCATGGTCAGGATTCCGAGTCTCCAGGTAATCTTCCCACATGGAGGCAAAGGTGCTTGTGGGGTGGGGTGGGGCGGGGAGTGGGGCTAGCTGGACCAGCTCAGACAACAGCAGACCCTCCGTGGCCGTGCAGCCAAACGCCCTTCGCCATCCACAGGCCATACCCCTTACCGAGTGCCCTCCGCCGGCCCCTCGGAGGTGGGGGCGGGCCCAGCATCCCTGTTCCAGGTGCACAGCAGAATCGCATAAGCACAGCCTGGCTGAGACACCATCAGTTCGGGAGCGCCCAGGGGCCCTGGAGTCACTGAGAGACTGTCCACCTGCATCAGAGAACAGGGGCTTACAGGGGGCTGGAGAGAGAAATGCGGGCCTGCAGAGGTCGGGGGAGGGCTGGGCCAAGGGTCCTGGGACAAGTCCCCAGCTTTTGAGGCAGCAGCAGGAGGAAGTCTAGAGTCCCTGGGCTCCTGCCACGAGCCACATTCTCCACGCGGACCACCTGCCTGATGATCCACTGTGTGGATCCTCATGGGCCCCATCACACCCATCCTCACGTCCCTGATGCTCAGCATAGAGGCCCTTCCCACCTGCCTGTAACAAGCAATTTCCCAAGACTCTGATTCTAAGTGATCTTCTTCAGATCTCCCTCAACAAGGTCATTTTCCCTCTTCCCACCCCGCACCTTGGCCCCGCTGTTCTCCCACGAGCCCCTCCAGGGAGGAGGGCTTCCCTGCCCCCTGGGCCGCGGTCCGACACTCAGCCTCTCACCTGACCCTCCAGCATCCATTTCTTGAGTGACACCAGCTGCCCGGTCAGATGCTCACTGCTGTCACCCAGGTCTTCCCAGCGGAAAGCCCGCACCACGCGGTCTGTATAACCCACCACCAGCTCGCAGCGGCCATCGCCGTCTGTGGATCCAGAAAATAACACAAGTTTGGAGCCCAGTCTGCATTTGTCAGCTTGAATCTTACAGGTGTGCACCCTTCCCCTCCAGTACCACCACCATCAGCATCTCCATCATATGTGACTTCAGGCCCAACCTGCTGTGCCCACCATCTCACACACCCCGGGTCTGGTGCCCGACCCCTGCCCTGCTGCGTGTCTGGAGCCACCCAGCTGCCTCGCAGGGCCCATCAAGTGTCCTGAGAAACCCCACACAGCTGCCACTGCCTTCAAGACGGCTTCTGGCCAAAGCACCAGCCCCGTATCTGAATGGCTCATTCCCCCGCAACCTTCAAGTGTTGATCAACTGTCACCTTCTTGGCAGAGACTCCCCTGACGACTCCCTCTGCCTCCACTTCAACACCCTCTAGCCCCTCCCGTGATTATTTCCTCTGTGGTGCTTTCCACCTACAAGTATGCTATTTAACTTTCTTAACAACATTTCTATTGCTTATCTTCTGTCCTTTCCCAGTAACGGTCCAAGAGAGCAGTCATTTTTGTCTGTTTCGTTCACTGTTACAATCAGCGCCTAGAATGACGCCTGGTTTATAACAGGAGCTCAGTAACTCGGCTTTAAAAGGCATGACAACTGCACAAATGAGCACAGGTGAGCCCCCTGAGTCCCCGAGGTCCTCCCCCCCGGCCGCCTGCAGAGACAGCCATGCCCACCGATGTCGCTGATCAGCATGACCTTGGTGTTGGCAGGGATGTGCTGCTTGAAGACGGGGCGGGGCTCCTCCCCCACGAGGGTCTCGTGGTGCCCTGAAGCACCCAGGGCCTTGGCAGGTGTCAGGTCACACAAGTGAAACCAGCCCTCGGCACTGACGGCCACCACCAGGTTCTGGGAGAGACACAGCGGGAGGAGGGGCTGGGGAGAGAGGTCCAGGCACAAGCCTGGTCATCAGAGCACAGAAGCCAAAGCTGAAGACCAACTCGCAGCTGACCCCCACTGAGAGGCAGGGATGGGTCGAGGGGAGGCCGGGGAGCTACACTGGAGTCCTGGGGCCCCTGGGCTTCTTACCTTCCCTTTGTTACATACATCTCCAACACCGACACAAGTGAGCTGCAAGAGAAGAAAGGGAGGCCAGGGAGACACGCTGAGGGAGGCCATGACGCCCAATCCCTGCAAAGCAGGGGGTGGGCTCCCCATCACCACCACCTGCTGAGAACTCAGTGGTGCACGGGCCCCACATCCAGAGTCTGTGCTGATCAAGTTACTGTGCTGGGCTCGGTTCACCAGACAGCAGTCTGAGGACCTGAGGTAGTGAAGACAGCCTGGGCCTAAACAAAAACCCACATCAACACAGCCAGGCCATCATGCTTCCAGACATGTGCAAACGACTAACCCCGTGTTCTACTACACGATCAGACAACCCAGGCAGATCCAGAAAGAACTAAGGGAGTCACTGCATCACGTAAAACGAAAACTAGCCCGGCTGTGTGTGCGGCAGCTGGGAGGGCACTGCCTGGGGGCTTCCCTCCCTGACTCAAATGAACCCTGACCCAGCAGCTGGCTGAGCAGCTGGTGACATAGGACACAATGGGGAGCTCGCACGTGGGACTCAGCCTTGACAGTCCCCGGACAGGAGGGAGCCCTTTGCCCCCTGGAGACCCAGGGGTTGAATACTGACCATTCCCTGGCAGGAACAGGTGAGCCACGGCCGGCTGTCATCACTCTTATACACAGACAGCTTTCCGCTGGTGTCTCCCACCACCAGTTCATTTAACTTCAGATGGAGAGAAGAGAGAGTGTTACGCGAGGCCCTGCTGAGCCACTCGAGACTCTCTCCTAGGCCCACCCTAGGGAAACCAAAAGACCTCAACTTGGATCTTCATTGACTTTGTTAAAGTATTTTGAGGCCAACATTGCCAGTTTCCCAGAGTTTGTTTCCATTTCGTGTGTGTGTGTGTGCGCGTGCGTGCGTGCATGCGTGTGTGTGTTGAGGACAGGGATGGTTAGAGAAGGGGCAACACAGAATCTATGATCCATGCCAGAAAAATCTGACATCTGAACAGCTCAAGGCCCCATTTGCCTGCCTTCAGTTCTTCTAATTTGTCCTGACACATGGGACACATTTTGAAAACAAGCTAATTGTGTAACTTTCGGAGAATTTAACTTCAGAGCTCACATTTAATCAGGGACCAAATAAAGACAGCGTCAGCTCTGGGGCTCTCCCTCCCCCCGCAAGACCTTTTGACGCTGGTGTGCTGAGTGAGCAGCGGGGCAGCATCCGAGCTCTGAGGCTCTGGTGCCCCCACGCGGTGGCCAAGCTCTCAGGAGGGTCTGGAGACTCTTCACCATTTACATCTGGTCTCTCCATTTCCCAGGGGTTCCCCAAAGGCTGGTCACCCTTTCCAGGAGACAACGATGATTACCAGCTGGCTCCAAACCCTATTTCCACAAACAGTTTCATGATTCCCGCTTGGGAGGGACTGTCCTCAAAACAGTGAGTATTAGACTCTCAAGCAGTTTAATTCTGAAGGCAACAAAGTCATAATGCATGGACAGTAAGGAAAAGCAAGAAATAAACTGGGGTTTATTAATAATGATTTACTTGAGCTGAATCTCAGATTTATCTTATTTTCATTAGTTACGGGAGTTTCTGCTGGGAATAGTAGAACCAGAAGCATAAAACAAGTTTATCGACATCAAACCCTCTACACCGGATGTTTCCGTTACAGTCGCCCCAGAGGACTTGTGCGGGGCTCAGAGTGCAGCCACCTGAATGTGAACCCAGCCCTCTTTGCCAAGATTTTTTCATCTATAAAACAAGGATCATAAGACTGTCCACATTATAAGGATGTTGTGAGACTGAGCCGACAGAGGAAAGCACCTAGGATGGTGACTGGCATAAAGTCAGCACTAATGCCAGGCAGTTTCTGGCTTCCAGTTAAATGCCTCCAAGGCTATGGATCTCAGCGTCTTTCCTACGATCGGTTCTTTCTTTAATACATTGATTCCACAAAAGCCATAGTCCATAGTAGACCCTTCATAAATATTTAGTTGATAGGCAAATGACAAAAAAGATTTTTTTTAAATAAACAACGAAATCAGAATGAAAGAGAATACCCAGTTGGCTCTGGAGTTTTCAGGTAAAGCTGGACAATCAGTTAGGGGTACAAAGATAAACGCCACAGGCTCACAGTTATAACAGCTGTGTTGAGAAGCACCTCGCAGTTCAACAAGGGCACAGACACAGGGTTAAAAATCACAAAACTGTCTAGCAAGTGCAGTGAGCAAGGAGATGGGACTCAGCCGGGCAGACGGTGAGACACTGGCAGGTGTCCTGGACAAGGCCATTTCCAGGATGGCCCACCTGCGCCCCAGCCATTTTGCTCCTCTGGGGTCCATCCTGGCTCTGGCTTCTGGAGGTTACTCAGTGACACCAAGAACCCCAGCTGGAGAGGACACCATCAGCTGGAAATGCCAACAGGGAGAGGAAGTGAGGTCTTCCCGTGATCTGCTTCAGCCTTCGAGAGACTGTCTCTCGCCAGGTGTAGCCAGGCTTCAGTGGGGTCCTGGAGAGTGTGTACTCCCTCCCTCGGTCTTAGCAGGAAATAAATTACTTGCAAACACTTTTAGGCTAATAGTTTATTAGGATGAAAGAAGTCTTTTTTCTGCCCCAAATCTCCAAATGCTGGCCCAGAGGAGCCAGTAACAAAGTTCCATCCACACTCATGCAGGCTGACTGTACCACACCTGATGCTCACCAGCCAACTACCTCACCTACTTGCCCTTTTTCAATCATATTTATTAATAACAGGCAAAGCCCTTCAAATTGCTTTGAGATACATAGTAACATTTGCCTTTCATAACGATCCTCATTTATTCAACATTGAGTGCCCACTACATGACAGGCACTATTCTTAAGGGGTGGAAATTCGGCAGTGGAAAAAGCAGATAAAAAATTCCTACCATCACAAAGCTCACAAGAGTGGAGCTTACAACTAAGGTTAAAAAAAAAAAGTAGTATAATATACCTAATATTGCAGAACTGAGTGTGCAATTCACTTATAGAAGTACAATTTCCAAAAAACTGATACTATGAAGCTATGAAAAAAGGCATTAAACAAAGAAGACAACTGGATAAAATGGAAGACAATGCATAAAGTCACCCTGTTAATTTACTATGTTAAAATGCCTCCTTTGACTTTTCTCATAAAATTATACTGTGTAGCATACAAAAAAAAGTGAAAACTCAGAAAACATAATACAAATTTATGAGAATAACTTTTTCCTCCCTAAAGGAAGAGCTGAAAGAGGCCTCATAAAATACCTTCTTCACCACAGCACAAAAAAGGCTGTGGGGAGATGGGGGTGGGGGTGTTTTAGCCCTTGTTTATTTCCAGGGTAAAGAGCACAAAACAGTGAGAATGAGAAGCAGGGAAGCAGGGCAGAGACGCGGGGCAGAGGGCAGGAGAGGACGGCAACAGTGAGCTTTGCATTAAAAATATGAAATAGAGACAATGGGAGAAAAGTGTCTCACACCATCAGACGCCCCCAGCCCCTTTGGGGCTCCACCCCAGGACTCTACACATTCTAATCAGTGCACCTCATTGCATTTCCTTATTCTTGTCACTATCACCCCACCTGCTGATGAGCTACCTGAAGGCGGGAACTGTCTTGCTCATCTCGGATTTGCCACAAGGTAGCAGAGCCCCTGGCCCATCACGGGCAGTTCAGGACCAAACACTGACGACGACACCAACCCCTGCTGACCGTCAGCCGCGTCCCAGACACGGTTCTGCCTGCTTTCCCCGCATTAACTCAGGCAGACGACGAGATTTTAAAGGAAGGACTGCGAGGGGAGGAAAGCTAGATGGACAGTGTTTTGGTAACAACCGAGGTGAAGTGCTTTGGCGGTGGGCCCGCCGGGCTGAGACGCCCCGGCCAGGAGCCGAGGGCCGCCCGGTGGACCCGGCATTACGGCAGACGCTCCCGCAGGCGCCGCGCGCGCGCTGGGAGCCCATTCTGAGACTCTGAACCGGACAGGGGCCCCGAAGGAGGCACAGCGACAGGAGCGGGAAGCCGGGAACCCGGCCACCAGAGTCTACTGGCTCCTACGGAGAACAAGCGACCGAGCCAGGTGAGCTACCAGACCACGGAAGCTGCCCGAACAGCCCTCCCACCCACCACGCAGTCCTCGCGCGCACGCGCACCGCGCACCGCGCACCGCGCACGACGCAGACGCACGCCGTACGACGCACGCCGCTCCCTCCTACGCCGTACGCAGTACGCAGCACGCCGCCCCCTCCGCCCCGCCCGGCCCCGCCTCGCCGCGTCTCTTCTGTGCGCATGCACTGACCGTGTCGTTATCGACGTCTCCGAGGCAGATGGCATGCGGGAAGAGGCTCCCGCTGAACTCCAGGGCCACGCGCTGCACGTAGCTAACAGACCTCATCTCACTTCCAAGGGCTCAGGGGCTCTGCAGCCCCGCTAAGTGTTCCCTAGCTCCTCCAGACTGCCGCCCGAGCGGAAGGCCACCCCGAACGGAGAGTTACGTCACCGACTGGGCCTCCAATCGTGGCCTCCGTCGCGGCCCCTCAGGGAGGAGGCGGGCCTTCCGGGCGCGCTGGGCTGGGGGGGGGGGGCCCATCCTGGTGTGAGTGACAGGGCCACGGGCCACTCCTCTTCTCCGCGAGCCGGGCGCGCACTGGCCAGCCAACGCTGGCCCGGCCGAGCCGTTTCCTTGGCAACAGGACTCTCGAGGGCGTGACCTAATGACCTTGATCTCTTCCTCTGTTGCCCCGGCAGTGAAGATGCCCAGCCTTCAGACCATCTCTGAGAATCATAATAATCGTAATGACCAAGGACTGCGTGGTTTCCAGCACTGTTTTTGAAAAAAACCTATGTAGCTCCTCATTACGAATCGTGAACTCAGTGAATCGGAGCAGCATTTAAAAAAACGAAATAGAATGGAAAAATGCCAAATAATGTCGAATAGTAAGGTGAGTATTAATTTTGTGGGAACTTCGTTTCAATTGTATACGTTTATATGAGTACACACTGGCTAATCATGTAAAAAACATTTTTCCACCCAAGGTGGGTGTATTCCGTGGGTAAAGGTTTGAAAATTACCTCCTGTAAAGCACATTCACACATATTATTTCACATAATTAGCACAACAATCCTTTGGGCTTGTCTTCTTACTCCATTTTTTTTTAATGAGGAAAACAGGTTCAGCAAGATAAAGCAATAAGGCAGAAAGTGATGGAGATAGGACTCAGACCAGGATTGTTTGAGCCAAACCCCCACGTCCTTCCCATCACTGACTGCCATAGTTCCTAGGAAAGTCCTCAGGTTAGAAATCGGGGTCACTGGGATTCTGGGTCCTCTCTGCCTCTTGCCCGCCCAGCACCAAGCTCTTGCCTCCCTCCCTCAGTGGCCTCACTCTGCAGATTAATGGGGCATCACCATCATGGCTGGCCTTGGAGGGAAACTTTCCGTGTTGCATCCGGTCCAGCCTTTCTCTGGGCCTCATCAGTCAAGGCATCAGAAGTATTGTTTTGTGAGATTGTACAGGTGTTCAGTACGTTTTTAAGTTTAGGTTTGCAGGCCCAGACTGATTTGCGCGTTGGTCTTTTAGACGTCACGACAGTAAAAAATAAGGGTATCTATCTCACCTGGTGATGCTGGGTCAGGGATAGCCTGCTTTCTACATCGGGATGCAGTGGGAGAAGGCCCTGGAGGGCAGGACCTTTTTGTCTGGGGGCCAGGGAGGGGATGGCACCTTACGTCCCCGAGGTCCTCTGGATCTGATGGCCCAATAAGATGAGAACGGGGAACAGCAGGTCAGAACAGAAAAGAGGAGGCCATCTAGACAAATACCGGGGGCCACAGACACACTCAGGCTTGTTTCTTGTGGCGTATTGTGGGGTTGGCCAGGCCCCTGCAGAGGCACTGGGGCACACAGGTGTGCCTGGTGCATCCATCTTGCCATGCGGTGGGGCCGCCTGCTGCCTCACCCCGCTTAGCCTGTTCTCTCCTGCCTCAATCCAAAGCTTCACGCTAGGTTTAAGGGGTAGGAAGACAACCAGTTTTAAAATGCTCACTGCTAAATGTAAACCTAAGTAGTTTTGAATTTTGTTTCTTTTCACTGTATTATCACTCTATTGTCTCTTTTTCCAGATTTTGATTGAAATAGTAAAATAAACAAGTTAATAAATAACCCAAGACAAAATAGATGAGGGTCACCTTACTTCTGTCACCAAGCACCCTGGCCTGACCTAGTTCTCCGACATCCTACCCTGACCCAGCACCCACAGTGCCTTAGTTTTATCTTCCTTATCACTTGGGTTTCTTGTTCTTGACCTTTCTGGGCTGGGGTGCCTGTTTTTATTTGTTCTGTGTTTGTCATGAGGTCATGTCATGATTGCAACTTGGGTACCATGCCTTTTGGCTTTTGTCAAGAAAGCCAGATTAAGTTAGAAACGGAGGAAAGGTAGGTCTCCAAGAAATAAGGCGTGCATGAGTCTCCCGCTACCTTGCCCCTCCCCACTGTGCCAGTTCCTCAAACTGCACTGAGTGTTAGAGTCACAGGGAGTGGAGCACAGGCCCAGGCCCTGGGGGGCCATGCTCCAAGGGAGACCCCTGTTCTTGGCCTTTTTCAGTGGGATGGGTGGTGGGTCTCCAGTGGCACCACCTAGAGCTTGTCGTGTTTTAAGCCAAGCACTTGGCTTTTGGCCTACTCCCCAGCGCTGCCTAACCAGGCGGTCTTCCTGGTTAGAGGACATGGACATAGTGTGGGTGGTATAATCAGACGAACAGAAGCTTCAGTAGAAACCTGCTCGGGGAGGGGGAGGGGAGGTGTGTTAAGTGAGAAGCATTTCTAGGGAGATCCTTTGTCCACTTCTTTCTGCAAGAGTAGACAGTGGTCCTGTCCAGGGTGTTGAATAAGGATGCCCAGGTAAGAGACAGGACCTTTAAAGCTCTTTCTACATGTGAGGCCCAGAGCTTCCAGGGGGCTCAGCTTGAGACTTCCACTTCTCCATCCCTAATTCACGCTGCACCTGAACATACTAACGGTTCTAGAAGCCATGAAGAACAGAAACCTGTTCCTCACACTTGCTTGGCCTAGAAATCAGGCCGCCCTGCCCTGAGTGAGATGCTGGTTTTCAGAGCTTTACTGTAGTTTAAGTCCCACCCTTCTTCACAGGCTTGTCCCTCCAAGGAAGGACCACCAACTCTGGGAAGCTCTGATCCCAGAACCTGTCAGGGTTGCGGTCCATTCAAGACTCCACTGGCCACTAACTGAAGGATGAAGAGTAGTTCTTGTCACTAGAGTCCAAACATGAGGAAACGGGCTTAAAATACAAAGGATGATGAAAATGTTCTAGAACTAAATAGAGGTGGTGGTTGCACAACATTGTTATTGGACTGAATGCTACTGAATTGTTCACTTTAAGTGGTTAAAATTATGTGAATTTCACCTCAGTAAAAAAAAATACAGACGGAACCATTTTAGGTGGAAGCACTCCCCGCCGTGGAGCCAGAGACTGGGGATCCCGGGGTCATGCCTGTCTCGGGCTGGGGGTGGGGAGGACTGGTCCCTCTTCTAGTCCAGACCTCTCCAGGTTCATGAAGGCGCGCCTTTTTCCTGATCATTCCTCCTCAGAACTATTTTGTGAATCTTTCACATTCTTACTTTGCCTCCCAAAGTGGTATATTTAGTGCTGTTCATCACAGGCTAAATAAGGTTTTATTATGATTCTTAGGATTTATAGTTAAGAATAGTTGGTGCATCCAAGTTACGGGAGGTTGGCAAGCAGCTGGGGAAGTCAGCCATGAAGTCAGCAGGAGTGATTTCTCTCCAGTAAGAGGACAAGCTTTCCTCTTAGACGCCTCCTTGCTCTTACACTGGCTCTTTTCAGCACTGCCCTTAGCTCGCTGTCATCCCAGCCCCAGGGTTACTAGGCTTTGTGGAGTACTGCCTTAGGAAGGGGGAGGTTGGTATTGAGACAGAAGGAATAAGGCATCAAAGGTTCCACTGTTGAATTCTCAATTTTCAAGTAATAGTTTCCTAGAAAGGTACTACTGGTTACCAGTCCTGTCTTTCACGTGTTATTTGTCCAGTTGAAAGGGGATGCGCAGTTGACCTTTCCTCTCAGTGGCGTGGCTGGTGGACTGGAGCCAAGCACGGCAGTGCTGGTCAGGCAGGCCGGGCCCGGCCTCGCAGGGTCGTGTGGGCCGCGATGGCTCAGCCTAAGTGGGTTAGAAGCCATCCACGGGTTTTTAAGCAGCTGGAGGGATTCGATTAGGATGCAGCGCAAAGTGGCCAGAATGCAAGAGAAGAGCCTTTCCTAGGAGGGGAGGGCAGGCTGGAGGCACACGGAGATGTGGGGAAGGCGCTGCTAGAATGGAGACTGGAAAAACTGCGATGACATTTATAGAACTTGATGTTTGGACCAGCACGAGGACAAGATAAACCCCACTGAAAATCTTCTGGAGCCCACTTGCACACGTGCAGTACCAGCTTCTAGTCCTCAGCCTGTTCTCTCCACGTGGAAGGACGTGAGCACTGGTGAGGATGGTGCAGCCAACACCAGACAGGCTTCCCAGAGTGGAGTAGACAGTGGGTTTATTTTTAACATTAAAGACTCTGCCCACTTTACTAAAACATCCTCAGAAGACAGTTTTAGTGTTACATAAACCGGTGCTTGCCCAGTTGCAGGGTTCTACGGAAGTTGTTTTAAACTGCTGGCATCCTACAGCACACTGAGAGCTGGGAGGGACCAGGAGTGCTTTTTTCCGTTTTTGCAGATGAGGGAGGAGGCCCAGCTTGCCCAGGACCACATGAACCTCGTGGCAGAGCCTGGATTTGTTCTCACACTGCAGGCCAACCTTCTATGGAAACTCTGACCCTTGGTTTCCTCATCTGTAATACGGGGCAGTACCTTCCTTGGACGGTAGATACCAGGATTAAAGTGAATCTGTGAGGCTCTTGGTTTAGTGCTAGGTCTACACCGGAAGTGCCTGTTGAGGGTTAGGTGTCCTCACTGGCCGCAGGGGCAAGTCTAATCCCGAAATACAGAAGACCGGGACGCAGGACTGAGGTGTGACCTCGGGAGGACACCCACGTTTAGCACCAGCTCCGGCACCAGCCGTGCTGTGCGACGTGGTGGTACTTTCACGCAGAGACTGACCTTCCACAGGAGCACGGAGAGTCTCTTCTAGAAGGACCTGTACAAGCCTGCGGGTGGGCAGACTACCCGTATCACTGTGCAGAAAGGACCTGGCAGCCCACACACGAGGGAGGCGGCACAGGTACAGGCGCTCACCTGCAAGCAGTTCTCCGGACAAGGCTCAGCACGGCTGCCGTGCCCCTTGGCCTCTCCCAGTGCCCCTAGTGCCCTGGGAGTCGGGTCAGAGCAGTTCAAGTGTAAGGACAAGAAAGCTGGAGAGTGGGCCGGAGGGGCTTCCGGAGCTCCCAGGCTTGACTGTCCCTCCCTCTCCCCTTAATTGCGTGAAAGGAGACTGACAGGTGTTGGTGACAACACTGGTGTCACTTTGTTAGGTAACCAGGAAAGCGTGAACTTCCTACTGCATCAGT